TACTAAAAAATGTGAGTAATCATCTATTAATACTTGAAAGTATTTATAACCTTCAGATGTTGGTGTAGATATTGGACCTGAAATATCTGAGTGTATCAACTGACCAATTTTTGTTGTGTATTTAAAACATTTATAAAATGGTTTACGAGTACTTTTACCTTCCATACAATCTTTACAAATTTCTGAACTATAAGGTAGTCCTAATATTTTTAAATTGTGCCTATTTATGTGTCCTAATCTCCTATGCCATAAATTATCATCTATAGTCTCATTTACATAACTTACTATATGGTTTGTCTCATTACAATAATTATTTTTATTATTAACAAAATCTACCTTTAAACAAAATAAATTATTCAACATTTCACACTGAAATTTTGATCCATTTTTATTTATTATAGCTTGTCTTTTACCATTAATATCATTAACAAATATTACTTTAAAACCTTTTTCTAATAATTTAGATACAGAAATGAGGTTATGTGATATACCTTTAACAATAAGTGCTTCTATTTTAATATCTCGTCCTTGACATGTAGCTTTTACTGTACCTACCTTATTTGCTATCAATACCTCACCATTCTTTGCAGTTCCAATTTTCACTGTGTTGATTTGTTTTACATCTACCATATATTCAACCATTTCTTCCATTACCATGTGTTGTGTACATCCAGAATCCAGAATGAATGTCTGTACATTGAGAGTAGATATGTTACACGTAGTTACACCACTTAATGCAATGAAGGCTAATTCATTTGCTTGATTCGCCTGTGATTGCTTACCACCTTGATTTCGTCTACTATGATTTGTACCACTTTGTATATATGTACTTCTTGAATGCCCTTGAAAGTTGCCTCTTGGATTGTGACCTCTATTCCCACTTTTGAATTGGCGACACTCTGATATCTTATGTCCTGGTTTGTGACATTTATAACAAATTATTGGCTGATTGGCTTGAAATGACATTTCATTAATATTAGCTGGTTTACCTTGTTTTGATTTAAGTTTCATTTCTTCATCTAATAGTCTGGATTTTACAAAGTCCATTTTAATAGTTGTATTCATTGTTTCTATAGCTGTGATGACTGATTCATACTCTTCATTTAATGATAGTAATAAATGGCATACTTTGTCTTCTTCTTCTAGTTTTGAACCAGCATTTTCTAAATCTCTTATAAGGGTATCAAACAACAGAAAGTGATCTTCTAATTTTTCATTTCTTTTCAGCTTCAATGTTAACAATTTACGTTTCAATGTTAATTTTGTAAACACACTTTTTCTCTCAAATATGTTCTCTAGGGCTTTAACCATTTCTTTTGTGGTATTTGCATCTTTAACTAAATCCAAGTGTTTGTCTGTTAAACATTGTACTATGATGCTTTTACCTTTGGAATCTTTTAGTTTAAACTCTGCTTTCTCTTTTGGTTCACTGTAGTCTTGCTCAGTTTTCTCCAATACATCTAATAATTGTCTTTCTTCCAGTAGTATGGTTACTCTGAATTTCCAATTGTTAAAATTTGTAGCATTTGTCAGCTGAGGAACATTGACTATTGCATTAGCCATTTTATATTTCACACTTTCTTTTATGCTTCTTTATTTTTTGTCTGTCTGGGTGCCCATAACCTATTAGAATTTGTTGTTTCCCAGTGAGGTAATACAGAGATAGCAGTGAATTATTTGATTACTTTATTTTACAAAAGTACTAAAAACTAAACATGTGCTACATTCTACAAAATATATATTTTACAACTGACATATGACAACCGGAATCACTTAAGACATTGTGAGCCAGTGTTGCCAAGTACAAAATTCCAATAGGTGAAATGTATAATTATTAATGACTAATTCAATTTATGTGAATAACTACTTACGTACAAATATGGAAAAAAAATTAAAACTCACCTCCTTCTCATTCAAGTTAGATAATGATTTTCTAGGCGTCTCTTGATCTCGTAAAAAGTGAAACAGGTGGTAGTGCCACAGTGTAGGCTCATAACGTTCATATTCACCCATTCCAGGGTGATCCGAGTTTATTTTTTTAACAACTGCATCCTTGTCAGCCTTATCGTCAATTAACCTATATTTTTCTAAGAATATTTTGTACGCTGCATTACTCTTTGCTTTGTAAAGCCGGAGATACACATGCCTGTTACTAGCACAATGACATACCAGTACCTAGCAAGCACCAGCTGCTGTCCTCAAACTAGCATGTGTTTACGTTAACTGGCATGCTAGTTTCTGGTATACTAGCTAATCGCAAATAATTTGATTTTTCTTGCTATATAGTAGCATGCTGTGAGATGGAAGGTGCATGCGTGGAAAGTGTCACCAGCATGTGTGAACGCGCGCTATCGCTACGGGCATGCCCAGTAGCTAGCAGAGAATTGTCAGATTTGTTGAGTTGGTGACAAACATTAATCGTTTTATATTTAAATTTATTAATTTAAAAATCTTGGGGTTAAAATCGTTGGGGTGATGAAAAACCATCAAATTTATTGCCATATATAGAGAATTGGAGTGTCTTTTGAATTCTTAATCATCTCTATATAAAAACAAAATAGTCTGTGACAATGCCTACACAAAAATCCAAGAGGAGATGGGTAAAGGTATCACTATAAAGGCCAAAATAAAAAAAATTCACCAAGATTTTCTTTCCTACCAATCCAATTTCTCACCCTCAAATTCATTATTAAATTTCTAACAATATCTTTGGTCATCAGCAATATTTGCTTGTTGATTCATTTCGAATACCTTCCATGGATCTCCTTTTTTTATTGCATTTTACAAGCTTGCATGTTTGTCTGTAGTCGCCTTAAGTTGTACTAAACGTAACCAACTATGAATGTACTTCGATGGTAAGGAAATAAGATAAGTCTTCTACTCATACTCACAATCCGTTATAGGTTTTATTAAAGTTGGTAAAAGAGAATGGGCTAGCAATTTCGTTGTTTACAAACTTTTACAACATCTTCTGTAATGTGTATATTGTCTTTAAATGATTTAAAGCGTATATCCCTCTTACATATTCCATAACAACACCGCTTCGATAATATATTAATTAAATTTGAAACTAGGCGAACTGAAATAATACTACTAATTTCTCATATTTGATCTAAATTCATAATCTCCAACGGGTTTTTGTAGTTGCGATTAAAAAAAATAAGAGTGATGTAGAAAATAAAGAAAACGTGTAAACTAAATGTTGCAATCCAAAAGTTGAACGGAGTATTTGCCAAGCCTATTCCCAATTTAATGCTTAATCTTTTGTAAAGCAATATACTGTGAACTAGCTTTTGACTTGTCTGTTAGAATAAACAACTGTTAATAGCAATCAACATCAAAATCAAAAATATAATTAAGAATTCTTACAATATTAAAATTACATTAGTATTTTACCTAATAAAATATGTTAAAATATAGCAAAATAAAGAATCGATGAAAATATCAACATGACTGAAACAAGTTATAGGGGTAAATCAATTCAGAGTGTGTTGAGTGTTGATGCACCTCGATCTGCATCACACTCTTGGTTGCGACTGAGCTCACTTCTAATTAGGTGGCCAATATTCTTCTAATTTCCTAAGAAAAGGAATTTTTCGGCTTACTTCGTCAGGAGACCACTCAAACAGAATTTCGTCCTGTCTGTTGGACATTCAAAGAGAGAAAGGAAGATGAATGGCGAGTTTACGAACACTTCAATTTTAAGGCGACGGTGGAGCTATTAGGAACTGCAGTAGCGTCCATGGGGTAATATAAATGCACTCGGCGGATAGATGGCGTAAGCAACATTGATTTGAATATTTACTAGGAATTAGAATAATAAATTTTTAAACTTTGAAAAATATTTTAAAACGGTTACAAAATAACAAAGAATTTACAGGGGAATATTTCCTAGTAGCCAAAAGGTTAGTAGAACAAAAACAGAATATCTAGAATGCGTATTTAATGACGGAAAAACTACTATAAATAAGATATACTACTATACTATACTGCTATAAATACCTTCGGATATGCAACTGAAAGGAAAATTCTACCAGACTTCCATAAAATCAGCTTTGATGCTGAACGTATCTAATCTTGCACAGTTATAACAAAGAAAAATAATGAATACATGTGCGTAATTGAGACTGTATAGGTGGATGGGCGGTAACAACAAATGATAGAACTAATTAATTCTTAAAAACGTATATTTATTTTAGGGAAAGTCTTGATTTGGCACCAATTGATGCCAAAACGAAAAAGCATATGTTAATATGATTAGAACATGTCCAACGTTGAAATGATGCTCAAGCTCCTGGAAGAATTAAGAGAGGAAGACTAAAGATGACTTGGTGAGTATGAGGTTTAGGCAGGACCTGACTGTGAAATGGATTGAAATTGGTACGGCCCAAGATAGAAACTTATGTAGTAATGTAATAAGGCCGACCTTACATAGAGCCAAAGGCAAAGAGAATGATGATGCATGTTTTACATTGCATCCACTCAACAGCAATAGATATTTACAGAATCTAATTAATTATTTAATTTTGTAAGAAACCCTTATGAAGCACTTTTTTACCATAAGAATGCTTCCTTAGTTCAAATGAAGTAAATGACATGTTTTAATATTTGTACGACTCTCGATTACAGTTTCTAATTATTAATTTATTTTTGCATAAATCTATTCTGTTATTAAAATAGAATATATAATATACTAATAATATAAAAATAAAATGTATTAATATGTAAATATAAAATTAAAAAATTAAAGAACTAAACGTTTTTACTAATCTTCCTTTAATCCTTTATAGCGCTCAAATTTTTTAAATTGCATTCAAACATTTAGTTTTGTTCTTATTAACTCCAATGTATGCAATCAGCATTACTTTGACGTCAGAGATAGAGCAAAAAATTAAAAATCTCATGGACAATCAGTTCCCTTAGAAACAATCAATGTCATGTCATTTGTCAGTTTTGTTAATAGATGGTGAATGGTGATTAGATTGGGTTTATGGATAAATTTTAGTTTTTAAGTCTTACGAGGTGTAGTTACCTGTTAAAACTACAAGTTAAGTTAGATACAAGTTTAGTATTTAGTTTATTTTCGTAAAATGATAGATGTTACCTCTCAAAATATTTTACAAGAAGAGGTTAGTAACAAAGCCCCTATAAAAGATTTTTCATTGTTTATAGCTGGTACACAGTCTATTTATTACTGTTACAATTTCAGGTTAACTTAAGAGAAAATGTAACACTATATACTCCAAGATCCTTCCACCTGTCCTGCCAAATTCATGTTGCCAAAATCATGCAAGAAATAATACCAGGTGTGTACCTCGGCCCTTTTACTGCCGCTCAAAGAAATATCCTTGTTGAAAACGGTATCAATTACATCATTTGTGTACGACAGGACGTCGAAGCTCATTACATCAAGCCCCAAATAAATGACCCAACATTTGCCTATCTTACCCTTAACATTGCTGACTGTGTGACAGAAAATATCATAAGATTTTTCCCAAAAGTTAAACAGTTCATTGACGAAGCTCTTTCTAATAATGCAAAAGTTTTGGTACACAGCAACAAGGGGAATTCCAGGAGTGCCACTTTAGTTTTAGCCTATGTTATGGAGAAGTTTGGATTAAGCTCAAGGTAAGTAGAAATTATATAAACTAAAATAAAGGATATGTTAATTTAGACCCTTTTATCTTATTTTTTCATGACTCTTGTCCTCTGCCCTACTATAATATTGGCTCTGATGGCCGCCAACAATAACCTTTTGTTACATTTATGTCAAAGTATATTTATATGTTGCATTTTTGTTTTCTTAGATATTGTTGTATTATTGTTTTGGTAAGCTGAGCTAAGATGCTATTTGCTTCTTATTTTTGAAGGCTTTACTTACTCCCAAAACATGCAATAATAGTGTTATTTTGAGTGTAAACACATTAATGACACAAATAGACATTGCCAAGGTATGTGGAGGAAGTTTAGGAGCTGCAAATAACTGTTTGAAGCAAAAAAGTCAGTACAAATGATCGAAAAGGGCAATGTGTTAGGAAGGGAAAGACAGTAGCAGAAAGCAAGCTTTTTTATTACACATTCTAAGGAAACTTTAAATTGAAGCATAGGAAAATATATCAGAACTTTGTATACATTGGAGTGTTTATGACAAAGATATATTTTCAGAAGCTGCTTTTCTTGTAAAGATACTGGATCTCATTTCTGCCCAATAGAAGCCATGATGAACTCTCAACAATACAGAGAATAGCTAGCATGCAGTTTGGAAAGGACACTAAGAAAAGTTAATGCCAATTCTCAAGCAGCTTTTCAACAAGATTGTATGTCATCTGTCCATCTCGTTGGGGGGTCGACCTCTATTTCTGTTATCTTGTATTCAGGGTCTCCATTCCAAAATTATTTTTGTCCACCGGTCATCAACTGATCTTGCTACATGACCTGCCCAGTTCCACTTTAGTATTGTTATCCTTTCAATAATGTCTGCTACTCCTGATCTTTTGTGGAGTAAGATCAGGAGAAGGTCAGATTAGGATAATTATTATAATAGAATAAAATAGGGATATAACGAATTTGGAAAATTCTAAAACAGGTTAAAATAAATAAGCCAACAAATTTATTGATTTCAATTTATATAACAATAATATTGTTTTGAACAAACAAATACATTTTCTAAAAATAAAAATTAAAATTAAGTAAGAGTGTCTGCTCCACCACTGAATTGGGTCCAACCTTTCATCAATAAATTGGAATTTCAGAGTAAATTTCAAGATTATGGAGTATGTTGGCTCTAGAACCACTCATAGAGGATGTAGATGTTAAAGGTAATATTAAGTCATTGTAGCACTTCCACACTGTGAAAGATAAATTTGTTGGAGAATTCACAAGGAATCTAAGTTCCTGTAGTTGGCTGTATACCATATATCAAAATTTTTTTATTAAAAATCGTTTATAAAAGGTATATAATTTAAAAACCCAATCAGGCTATATCACAAAACATTTTCGGAATCCATATTCTATCATCAGTGTCTAGGTATACATGTATATAGCAACTAAATATGTGGGTAAAAACCCGTTAAAATTGTTTGTTTAAATTTATAAATTTAGTTTACATTATGTGTTATTAATTATTAAGTTACCAGTGGATTTGGTAACATGGCGACATATGACACCACGTGAAGTTGCTGGTCCTAAGACAGGTGTGTCTACAAGGACTTGATGAAAGTAACTAGTTGCCATGTTACCAAATCCACTGGTAACTTTAACATCATAATAATTAATAACACATAATATAAACTAAATTTAAACAAACAACTTTTAACAGGTTTTTACCCACATATTTAGTTGCTACATACATGTATACCTAGACACTGATGATGGAATATGGATTCTGAAAATGTTTTGTGATATAGCCGGATTGGGTTTTTAAATTATACACCTTTTTTATATGATTTTTAATAAAATTTTTTTGTTGGAGAATATTTTTTTTATTTATCTGTGCTCTTTTTTACCTAGAGGTTAAAGGTACTTCATTATCATCTTTGCTAATAATAACCACGCTATCCCTATCATCTACAGTAGAACCCCGATTATCCGTGCGCGCTTTATCCGGGCGGTGGATTCTCCGTGCCGCATATTAAATTGATCATCCTTGCGCAGATTATCCGTGGCTAACGGCCAGAGGTTGGTGGCGCCCATGAACGCTGAATAATGCACCGTGTAAACATTCATTTCAGGGAATCTCCAAGTTTTCTCATATTTTCGTCAATTGCTGACCGGTTCGGTCGGTTCGTTAGTTGAACATAAACAGGAGCACAAAATGCAGCGTACGGGGTGGGTATACGCAATGTTTTAACTATTGAGCAAAAAATGGAAATTTTGAAACAATTTGAAAATAAAATAAGTGTTGCTATATTGGCTGAAACATATAATATTGGGAAACAAACAGTTTGTGACATCGTGAAGAAAAAATCCGAATTACAGAGCTTTGTAGCTAAAGCGGACAGTGCAAAAGCATTTTCTGACAGGAAATCTCTAAAAGGGTCTACGTTTCGAGAACTTGATGATGCTATGACCAAGTGGTTCTTGCAGAAAAGATCAATGGGGGTTCTAATATCAGGACCTATGTGTGCTAGACAAGCTGAAAAGTTTCACAATCAGTTACAAATTAAAGGCACCTGCTGATGATGTAGCTATGGTAGAATTTTGCTACAATTTTGAAAATCTGAGCACGACCTAAAACCTGAGCAAGTGTATAATGCAGACGAAACTGGGCTTTATTGGAAAGCAATTCCGAGTAGAACCCTTGTTGCAGGCTCAGAAACGAGTGCAGCAGGTTAGCTTTAATTCTTTTTATAAAGTATTTTTCAAAATAATTTTTTTTAGGTTTCAAATCAAGCAAAGACCATATAACAGTTTTATTCTGTGCTAATGCCTCAGTAACCCATAAGCTTAGGTTAGCCGTCATTGGAAAATCCAAAAATCCGAGGGCTTTTAAAAATATAAAAACACTGCCTGTTGATTATTATAATCAAAAGGTAGCTTGGATGGATCGTGTAATTTGTAAACCGTGGTTTTTCCAAAACTTTATACCTCAAGTTAGAGCTTATCTACAAGAAAATAATCTTCCACCAAAGGCTGTACTGTTACTGGACAATGCACCATCGCATCCTAATGTAGAGCAACTAAAGTCAGCAGATGGGAACATATTCGTAGTATATTTTCCTCCGAATGTAACACCTATTGCCCAGACAATGAACCAAGGTGTTATCGAGGCCATGAAAAGGCTTTACAGAAAAGACCTTATGCTTCAACTGTTGGGAGAATGTGATATTGTGGGATTTTGGAAACGCCTAAATTTAAAAGAGGCAATTTATGTTCTAGCTCGGGCTTGGAGTGAAGTGAAAACAGATCATATTAACAAATCATTTTATAAAATAATGACCTTAGAAGATATGGAAGATGAAGATGGTAATCACATAAATGAAGGTGAGCTATCGGTTGAAAACATAGCATTTATAGCCTACAAATCAAAGGTTTGGAAGAAACGAACAATAACAAAATACAAATTCATGTACTTCAGCTTAAAAACATAAAAGAAATTATGAAGTGTTGAAGTTTCGAAGCTCAAAAACAAACCAAAATTAGTGATTTTTTTATTGATTTTTTTTTTAAATATGTAATGTTTATTCATAGCATATACATTTTGTAGAAATAATAATATGTATCATGTATGTACTTTTATTTTTTCTTACATGTATGTTGTATGTATCACGTTTCTGCTCTTCGTTTGACACATGTATTTGTCTAAATAAATTATTTAAAAAATAAATTAAGGTCTTTGGATTATTCGTGTTTTCGATTATCCGGCGAAGGCTCGATCCGGGCTGGTCCGGATAATCGAGGTTCTACTGTATTAATTTTTTAGATTCAGACCTCAACAGTATTGATTTTAATAATTTCTGTGATTTTTCTCACATCTTTGTTTTTAATACCTTCAACTACAGTATTACTTAAAAAAAGGTTGTGTATCTGGGATCTAACATAGTAAATATGGTAAAATAATTCTTGGACTCTTCATCACAAAATTCTTTTGTTGATTCCAGTAATGAAACTTTCTTTCATAGTTATGTTATAAAAATCTCTAGTAAATCTATTTATAAACTCCAACAATCTCAGAGCTCCGTAAATCATATCATCAATATCGAAGGCAGAGATAAATGAATATAAATTATCAGATTCTTAATTACTGAAACTCTTAATAGAAAATGTACCTCAAGCTCATATATACCTTTCTTTTGGGGAAATAGACCCAGTTCACTTTTCAGCATTAAGCTCTCTGCTATTCACACCTCACTCCAGCCCACTAATCCATATTAATTACATTAAGGCTGTTTTAGCAGTTGAAGCACACTGCGATTTGAAGTGGGCGTATCACTTACTTTTCTACACTGCTTACGCCAGACCATCTTTAGTCAGTGGCGACGGCCGACGGGTAGTTGAATGACAACAAATGCATTATTCTCTATTCAAATTAGTTTTAACACGAACTAACTGACCGTACGTTTATGAGATTTGACGTCACGAAGGCGATAACGGTGAAACTAATCGCCAATGAAGAGTAACACGTTTCACTATTATAAAGTTTAGTATTTTTTAGCAATTTTCTTCTGAGTTGGAACACGCTTTTCTCGATTATTACTGGACACAGAAAGGTGAAAAAAAAATCAACGATTACAGAAAAAAAAAACTCTTTCAAGTGATGGGAGTAAAGAGTTTGGTTATAATAGAACGTTAAACAGTATAATCCAATTTTTCAAAAGAAGTTTCAAAAAAATAAAAAAAGTAAAACCATCATTTTAAAGTTAATTTCGAATAACTTGTCCAAATTTCGAGACATTTTGTCAGTAAATAACAGAGAAAACACTGTCCCTAGGTTTTGGTGTACCGATAAAACAGCCTTAAGTAAATTTAAGATTTACAAAACACAGAAACACTCACTGTACTGAAAACAATCATCAATATCATTAACAAACATACTTAATAGAAAATATTCTAGGTGTTATTTACTTTAAATAACGTAGACACTCACTAGATCTTATCACAATTTAAAATATGTAAGCTATTCTAAAAGC